AACAGCAGAAAAGCAGATGCAGTGTCCATCCCACTCCCAAGATATTAGATAATGGCTTGGGTATGATCAATAGCAATCAGATTAGCCAAAAATATAGCATGCACACACACTGCCCTAATGGATCATTTCAGGATTGTACTTCACGTATTATAAACATGAAAATATTACAAATATGCATATATGAAAATCTAAAGTACAACTTTTGGATTTAGGCAATCCCATATCAATGCAGTGCAGCTGACAACATTTTCTTAGTGTTAAATTAGATAAATCTCCCTGCACCCTCACTTTATTAGCCAAGCACATTTTACACAACTCTCAAGCCAACAACCTTCTGCAATTTAAGTATGATAGAGTACAAGAGAAGCAATGAGTATTGTAAAGTTTATGCTTGTTCACCTTCTCTCCCTACAGAGAAGGGCAAGATGTTTTTTTATGTAAATATGTATTAGATTCAAATAATTTAAATAGATTATTATTCCATAGAGAACATGATGCTGCATATGCCCATTTCAGCTCCATGTTACTAAAGAAACCACAAGATAATGATGTTGTCTTGCTCATCCTAAAGGACACTGAAAACATTTCTGGGTATTTCCAAAAGAAGAGAATTCCATGGGGGAAAAAAAAAAAAAAAAAGGAAAAACTAAGCTGGCTCTTACAAAATAAGATAAGGTGAAGACAAGTTACTCACAGATCACAAATCAGTAAATCTCAGGAACAGGCCACAGCTGTTATAGCAAACATATACATCATGTATGTGGAGCAGTCCTTACAGTATCAATATCAAGTCATTACTACCTTCAAATTTTACTTTTATTTTCCTTTAAATGGAGGAAGGGAAAAACAATCATTGTTTGCAAGAAGAAAACAAAGAATTTTTAGACAGAAGACCGACTATAAAAATTAATGTAGGAATGCTAAATGCAAGATGCCAAATATTAATTTAATGCGGTTTAATTTCTCAGTTATAGTCAGCTACAAGTGTTACTATTTGAACAGAGCAGAGAGAGAACAGGGAAAACTTAATGTCCTTTTTTCTTAAAAAAAAAAAAAAAAAGACAGCTTTAAGCATTACTTTAAAGTGTGCACATCTCTGTGCTTTTCAGAAAAGACAAAGGAAGTTAATCAGTATGTTACCATAAATTCCATTTATAGTTAACAATTTCATTCAAAAGTGTGTACTTATTTAAAGTGAAGAAGACTGTCACTGGTCTTGAAGCATTTGGGCCACAGTCAGTTACGTTACAATACAGTCTGACCTCTACTTGATTTTAAAATAGGATAATCACCTTCAACTATGTATGAACCTTGAACATTATCAAAAACAGTTTTATTGCATCAACGATTTATTAATAGTCTTATATTAATAGTAATGTAACTTTGATTTTACAAAGTCATAAAGATGATGAGAAACACAGTCAAGACTTACTGTGCTATCTATTTTATTTTAGGCTTAGAAGGCAACCTCATAATGCAGTCACCGGAACTATCCAGAGAGTTAACAGCTATAAAGGAGAAAACAACAGAATACACATGCATCATCCCACTTCAACAATGGAGTGGGAAAGATACACACAGCATAACGAAGTTAAGATAAATACCAAAATCTTTTAAAAGCTGAAATTCTCCTCTAGCTTACCATGCCTGGAACTGGAAAACCGCTCATGCTGAGGCAGGTAACCTCTGGACAAGCACATTAACAACAACTGCTAGAACGAAAAAGCGTGAGCCCTAAGGAGTAGCACACTCAGCTAGATCCCCCTTCCAAGTGCAGCACTGGCAAGGGACCAAATTCTACAGGCTCGCATTCAAAACAAACCTGAACCAAGAAGGAAGTGTTTCTCCCAAACCTTTCTGGTTCAAAACACTTGCCACCACAGCAGCCCTGCTGTGTTCTTTGTGTTGCACGGTCACTTTTATAGCTGTTAGCCCCATTACAACACAGTTAGCAGTTTAAACAAAGAGCAACTAAGAAAGTACAATATTCTATAACTGGCATTTATAGCATCGGCCTTGGACTTCTAATCTTTACCAGACAGGCACACAAATCAATCTATCAGCTCATAAAGGTATGCTTTTTAACCTCTAGAACAGATGGGATTGGCCAGAAACGTCTGGCATGTCAAACTGCTAATCACTGCTGCCCTTTGCACAAAATAACCCACTTAAGTTGAGGCATGGTTGCACTGTAACAGACATTAGTCTGTGGGAAACCCATTTAACTGTCACATACTCCTGCCACTCCTGCTCTCCCTTAATTAAGCCTAATGCCTTATGCTTTGACCTTTTGTTCTAGCCTATTAACCCTATCTAGTACAAGTTCAAATATGTTAAACTTAAGTTTGCTATAAAATATTAAATGTCAAGCTACAGACAGAATACGGGATGTTTCTCCACCCTGCAAGTTACCAATCCCTTCACCAGATTTCCTATGATGACAGAATGGAAGCACCGTGCTAGTCCCCAAAGACAAAATATACCCAAATTAATCAGCTAATCAGTTCCACAGCAAAAGCATGGAGTTTCTTCTACTTGCACAGTCTACTTTTTCCTCTTCAGAGGAAGAAAAAAAAAAAAAAAAAGTAGTGAAACTGTTGCAATTTCATATCCTCAGGCTTTCCGGTTTTATCCGACATGAAAAGCACATACTATCAGCCAAGATCACACTGCACTCATTTGTTGTTCTCCAAAACCTATCATTAAAAATAAGACTTAATTGGTATACAGTGACCAATACCTCCTCAATTAAATGCTGCCTCTGCCAACCTTGCTTCCACTGAGTCACCACTTTGTTCTTACTACTTAGATGAGAATTAAAAACTAACCGTAAGTGTATCTTCAAGCGAGTTAAAGCTTCTCAGACTTGCATAAACTTAAACAAGGACATAAGTTACACATTTTAGATCGCTGTACATTATTTTCCTTTGCTGTAAACTCAAGCTTAGCAGCACTGTCTTCCCCACTGGTATCTCTTACTTCATGAAGGTTACACAGCATCAGTCTTCCCCTCTTGTATCTCTTACTTCATGAAGGTTACACAGCATTAGTAAGATCAACAGTTACATTTGTAAAGCAACACTCTTCTGGAGAAAGACCACCATAATGGTCCAGAACTTAAAATAAGAAGTCTAATTCCAGTGACAAAACCATGATCAAGACATAACTCTACTTGACTTCTCATTAAAACTATTTACAATGCTATGCAATTCACACTTGTACATCAACACGCATATTCTACAATTTGTACTTACAACCAACAAACCAACCTGTTCTCCAACACCTCCCCAAAAAAACCAATACTTAGCACGTAACTGTTTTATAATATTGGTTAGAAATGGAAAAGAAGAATGCAAGCTGTATCAGGATTACCAGCCATGTATACACTGACAAACAAGCTTTCTTAAATCTTTAGCTTAACCACCTCACTAGTAAATTTAATACCTGGTGCAAGACCCTCATTTACAGCTTACACTTTTGCAACTCTGACTAAATAGAACTGCTTCTGAACAGAGGTGACAGTCTTGAAACAAATCTTTGAAGCACTTTAACTATTTCTGAAGATATGAAAGATTTGAAAAGCCTGTTGCCACAAAAGCCACTGTCTACTAAATTCTGTTAAGGCTGTATAAGTGACCATCTACTGCTGATGACAACAATTCTCAAGTTGTAAATACGTACTTAATTAACGATGCTTTAATTGCAAAGTGCCTATCTTACTGATTCTGAGACCAGCAAGTAACATCATTAACTTCCTGTACAATTACTCAGACAACTAAGAAGCACAACAGCAATGCTAGACATTTGTTTTTAATTTTTCAGGAGTCAGATACAAAACATCATTGAGAGGGCAAGGGAGAAGGAACAGATCGCTCATCTTAATTTCCAAAACACTGATTCTGAATAAACCCAAATCTCCTCAGTTTAAAAAGTGCCAATATTTTCTAATTATTTCACTTTGCTACATTCTATTATGTTGAAGATACTCAAACTGAAGTACAGAAATGCTATACAACACTATATTCAAATGAAGTCAAGCAACACATGGATTTATTAAAAAAAAAAAAAGAAAGATTTATCCTTGCATCTGCAATCTGTGTCATTGCGACAGATATGGGAAAAGTTTTGCAGGCTGGGACTTGGTGTGACTGCCTCCAGCTTCTAGACCTTCCCTACTAATGCTCACAAAAGTTGCCACTGGAGGGAATGCAAATGAGTCCTAAGAGAGACCAGAAACAAAACAACAACTGTTTGTCAACCATTACACGCCCAAATTGTATTCTTTATGCTCATCAGGATTCTCAAGTTCTTAAGCATGCATGTAGGCCCACCGCGTACAGTGGGGCTACTCAAGTGGATAAAAATACTCACAAACCAAAGTGCATATACATAAGCAATCACTGGACAACACTCGGGGAATTATTGCCCAGTATCAAAGAAAAATAGGATTTAGGAAAGGGAACCAAGGGAGCAGATCCAAACAAAATGACAGCAGTGCTAAATGTCTACAAGCCACTGTAATGTAATATCTAATAATGATTATACTGTGACAGTCCCTTGCCGCAGAAGCTCAATTTGGATCTGTTTTATTTAAAAAGTAAAAGAGATTGTAACACAGTAAATTTTATTTAATCTTCTCTTTCATTCTGAAATTATATGTAAATCAAATTGTTCTCTATTTAGCAGCTACCTCCTAAACAAGTAGGCTAAATCTTCAGGGTTTATGAGCAAATTCCACACAAAAGGTTCAAATGCTACAAAAATACTTATTTCTTCTTGATCAGTACACTCTAAAAAAAAACAAAAAAACAAAAAAAACCCAAAAACAAAAATAAAAAAATTCTTACAGTAAAAGAGGTGGATTAGCTTGAAAATTTATCACTTAAAACATAATACTAAAAGGCTTGTACATAGCAGCCTGTTGTCCAACAGATTTGGCAAGAAAAAGCAGCAACCCCAAACCAATGAGACAAGGTAAATAACCCAGACAAATTATTTACCTTGAAAGCTGTCGCATTGGGAAAGCTCTCCCTTCAGGAGTCCAAGGATGCATTAATTTTCTTCCTTAACAATTCCATGCTTGATCTGAAAAAAACAGCAGAAATTGCCCTATGAAAGTCCACACATTAATTTTTCATATCCAGTATACTTGTACTTTCTTATTGTTGGTGCAATAGAAAGCAATGCTTAAATGGCTAGTAAGAACGCCAAATAACATTTCTATTCCAGAAGAAAAACATAACTCCAAACTTCAGAAATCAAAGCCTCTCAAACAAAACCATCAGTAACACAAGTAGAAACAAACGGCATTGTCTAGACTTGTATTGACTAAGTCAACAGTATTTCTGCAAGAACAAAATCCACGTTCAACCGATTCAAAGCCACTCTCTTCATTCAAACACCAGCTGTGACACAAAAGCCCTCCTTCCTATGCAGTAATAACTGCTTAACACTTCAAACTTGCACCTACAAACGTCAAAATCATAAAGAGCCCCTATTCTTTTAGATATATATACACACAAGGAAAAGAGCACAGTGTAACTGGTGAATGTAATGCTAAACACCGCAAAATTAGTTAGAAAAAAAATAAACCAGTAGAAATCACAATATTTGCTTTTGATACGTTTAGGAATTATACAGTACATAATATTATAGTTACGTTATTCATCACAAGTACCACCTGAAAAATTCTTCTCACCACTTCTCTACGATTACTAAGTTTTGCTAAAAGATGCAAACTTACAGCTAGCCCAGATCATTGTTATTTGCACTGCTTTTGCCTTGTTCTTGTGACAAGCCACACTATTAAAGAATATGTTAAATCTTGTGTCACCAAGTTACCACCCAAACAGCACATTTATTACACATAGAGTCAAATATAACTACAATAAAAATACATTTAAAGAAAAACAAACACCCCCCCAAACAAATGATGCATTAAAAAACATATATGTGTATATACATACGTATATATATATACACACACATATAACACACACTTTTTCTCCTGTTTGGTTCAACTTTCCCCTTCTCACAGTTCGCATAGCGAGAGCTCTCTCCTCTTTTCCACACCTTTAGCTTCTGTTCTCACAAAACTTGCATACAAAAGCTTTTTAAATACAGAATTTCTTTAGCATAGAGGACCCCACTGGTAGCTCTGGGCCCACAGGGTGGAGAGAGGCAGAGTGGGAAGCATGTGCACTGTGGACAGCCTTCAGCATTTCCCCTTGCCACAAAACCACCTCGGCTAATGCCACCTTAGTGAAAAATCACCTAACTCTGACCACTGCAATGTGTTTCATTAGGGAGGAACCAATATGAAAATATAGTAAATTAAATAATTAAAAAGAAAACCAAACAAACAAAACCCAAACCACCAACAGGTGTTGACAGATGGGTGGTCATCCAAAAGAAGACCTATTCAAAGCTTTGAAGTACATGAAATAACAAAGGCATGCTTGACTACTGCCAGCATCAAGACCTAACAAAAGCAACAGAGGTAATTAAGCTGAAAAAAAGTAGTCAATACTCTGAAATACTACATGTAGACAGTATTTCAAATCTTTCCCCTATGCACACCACAAAATAAAAAGTTTGCACCACAGAACAGTAGCAATCCTCAACATTTGGATTCAATTAAGGGGAAAAAAAAAAAGCTATCATTGCAGTCAAAACAAACATGGAAATGATACGTAGAGTAATGAAAGTGGTAATAAACATAGTTCAAAGCCTTTCCAATCCCATTTCACTGAAAGTGCAAACAAGCTGGATGTGAAATCTTTTGTGACCAAAGGAAAAATGGGAGAAGAGGTCCCTCAGAGCAGAAGGAAGCAGCACTTAAAAATATATATTCACCTTTTCAAGTCACACTAATTCGAGAAAAATGGTTAGTACCAGTATTTTTCTTCTATAGTATAGATGTAGACAAACTTTTTTTCCTGATCACTGCCAAATGGCTTTATTTAAGTAGTTCTACTTTCAACAGAAGACAAATTTGTATTTAATGGGAGGAAAACACAACAAACACCTCACACTGTATTGCCACCAGGGTCCACTGTATAGACAGGACTTCCTTTAGGTCAGCATTAGACAGCCTTTCCTGCATTGTCTCAAATGCAGGTTTAAAGGTCTGCAAGAGTTCAGAATGAGAGACACAAAAGAATTTGTTATTTCTGGAGGATAATTCCATATTCCTTCACTAATATTTTAAAATGAAGGAAGAAAAAAAAAAAAACACAACACTTTCCTAGAACAATACTTTATTCCCCAAAACTTCACCTCACTTGCTTTGCACACCTTAATAGTTTTTTTGAATGGTGAATTTTATATATATTATAAACTGCTGCAAGTGGGATAGGTGATGACATGAACATCATCAACAGAACAATCTCCTGGGGCAAGAATGGTCATTTCTTTCTACCTCGGAGGCAAGCCTTCCTTTCTATATCACTGAAAAAAGCCTTTTCAGTTTCCTTTCCCACTCCATTTTCTCAGTGGGGTGGGGCACAGAGAAGTAGAAACTCCATAGCCATGAATCTTAAAAAGTTCACTGTGAAAATACCAGCATCTGAGCAGCAGTACAACCTAGCACTAAGAAGAACAAAAATACTGCTCTTGCAAGCAAGGAAAACTACTTGGACACATTTTACAGCAGAAATTCACTAAACTCCTTATTTGTTTTCAAATAACAATTTCAGTTGAGACCAAAACACGTTTTACACCTAGCACTTGATCTCTCATTTCTCCCTTGTAATTTTCTTTCTCGACAGGGGGAAGAGCAGCCCACCAGAAATCTTCCCCCAAAACCCACTTTCTTTTCTACACTAAACTCAACCACTTAGAAACTGGTGACTAACAGAAGTTCTGTAGCTTCTGCTTTTAATCTGATTTTGTTTATAAGGAAAATTGGTTTTCCTCTGCTGAAGACAGTGGTATTTAGAAATAAGTGTCATGAAAACAGAGCTTCTCTCAAGACAAGCAACTAAACAGGAGCAATGAACTCCAGTAACAATTTAAGCATGAAAAGACTATGCCAGGAGGGGGCTGACCCAAACTATGATGGCTAGCAACAACTTCTTCCTCTTCCGACACATGAATGATTTATTTACATGAGTCTTAGTTCCAATTCTCCTTCTTCAACTATCAAGCCAAGCGACCTGCAACAGACAGCAAATAAATTACCAAATTAATTCTTTCAAGTGCTAAATAGGCCTGTTAACATTTCTAAGTATTTGAAATAAATAATCCAGAAACACTGAAGCCCAGGCATTCATCTTTACCAAAAGAATTCTGCCTGCTTCTCCTCAGGCAGATCTTCCCACCAAAGAACGAAAGAAAGTTCTTACACAGCCACAGACATCCACCTGAAGTACTGCCTGCCACCCATACTGCCTTCTTTTCTAACTGCATTTTCAAATGCAGCTAGCAAAACCTTAACACCATAATAGCCAAAAGCAATGACACAAGCCTTTTAAATACTTGCCTCAGTTTTCTTCACATTTGCAACAGGCAGGCCAACACAGTTCAGATAGTTACTGTTATCATTTTGGCCTACTGGCAGGAAGAGTGAGCAAACCACAAACACTGCTGCCATTAACCTTTATGTCTTTAGTTTAAGACTGTTTAGACAGACTGTCAAGTTTATGTTTTTTATCTGTCTTACACATTTGTGCATATTCTTTCATACCTTTTCCTCCTGCTCAGTCTTCATTCCCTACCTACATTATCTTTTCACTTGCCTGTCATTAAACCCCTGCTGAGCAATAATGACTCATCCTTCAAAATTTGCACTTCTTTTCCCAAAAGGGTATTTATCCTTTTTTAATCCATAGGATAGTTACCCTATTTATCCCACCTATTGCTCATCATCCAGCATGTGTCACCCAGCAGCAAAGGGGCTTGTGCCCCCACAGCAGGCACCCAGCTGGGATCCCCACACTCTCCCCGGTCTGTGCTCTGGACTCCCTCTGCTCCCTGTACGTTCACATACAGGGGAAAAAAAACCCACAAGCCACTTGGGTTTTGAGGTTCAGGCAAGTTCCAATGAGTTATTCTAAACTGAACAAAATATTAGCCTTCACATCATCTCAGATAGCCCTACAAGGAGGTGTCAAGCTCAGCCCTTGAGCAAGGCAGCTGACTGTGGGAAATGCAACTCCTTGGCTTTGCCTTGGGCAGGTTTATACATGTGCTCGGCACAACACAAAAAGAGTTTATCTTTTGATTTAGTAGTGTCCTGCAATGTCACTGGTAAAATTAACAGCGCTCTCAACACTAACAATAATACAGCTGGTATGACAGAAACCTTATGCCAATGTTCAAAGCCAGAAAAAGAAAGTTAGCTCTGAAAAGACAAAACAAGCTTTAAGCAAGCAAGCTGTTGTCAATTTTTAAGCCAATCCCATTAGGTTTTTAAGCAAAACCTACAGGTAAATATGATCACTATAAACTTCATTCATGTTTGAGTTCTACAACATTTACTCAATCACTTAAAAAAAAAACAAAACAACCACAAAACAACAAAAACACATCTACCCTAAACACAGTTATCAAACACCGCAGGTGACGCAGCCAACATTTGAATCACCCATTTGAGTTTACAATATAAAAACATTAGTTCACTTTTACTACTTTATCAACATAGTCTTTATGATCATAATAAATTTTGGTTAGTGCATCTCTCACTGCAGAAAAAGAAACAAGTATGGGGAGCAGAGAGGAAAAATGTGTTTCCACCTGGTAATTTCCTACCCCAAGACTAAGCAAGGGGAAAAAATTAAAATCCTGCCAGTACAGTTTGGCATTTGACAGCATCTTGTACTTGGTGCAGGCATAGTTCTATGCAAATCTGAATGCTATTGACAGCTCTCACTCATCAGGTAACTCGGCACTGTAGTCCAGGCTAAGAGGTCAGCTTTCACTCCTAGCTGGAACAGCCAGTCACTGCACATTAGTTCTTCCACCTCATTCCATAGAAGCAGCATTTCACTCACAATAAACTTGCTGCCTTGCTTTGAAGTCAACATCAATTCTATCTCAAGAGACCACTGATAAAATAACAAGTCAGACTTCTCAACCACAAGTTC